AATGTAGAGCCGTACACTTTCTTCAAATATCAGATGTAGTACGAACGAGGAGCAACGGGTTCAAGCTCAACAAACCCCCAATGTAGGACAGAAAACAGGAGATGCTTTTTAACCCATAGGGTTGTAAACCCATGAGAACAGCTGAAGCCCGCTTCAGCAGTTCCCGCTGAAGCCCTAAACGCCAAAACTCTGCCAGGTTTTAAAATACAGATAGAAAAGATCATCAGGGCAAATGGGGGGACCTTTGACAAGCCGCCAGCTTCCTGTCCTCGTCGAGGCCACTAATATTAGTGGCTCTCAGGTAAATTCAGGAGTGGTTTACTGCTCTATGTATCGCATTTACTAAATATTTTTCCATTTCTTCAGTATTGTCAGGCGAAGTGTAGTTTTGGTGCCAAATTTCAAGTCTGCTGTCTGAAATTTCGTCCAATCTGCTTTGATAAATCCCATCCGGGTTTGGGAGCTAGAGGTCTGGAAGGTAGTGCTATATTAAAAACTGTTTTTGTTGCAAAGTGGTCACTTTGTACTGTACTTGTCAAAGTCAGTACTTGGTCAATTGACCAATGACAACTCAAATACTGGAGACAATATGGATTGGTTCTGTCGAGTTAAGCAGACTGACTGCAGGCACTTCATCCAAAAGGTGTTAAATATGTCTTCCGTTGGGCGTTGAAGTCACCCGAGATGAGAGTAGGTGTGGTGACTGCTATTTCATAGATTGCAGAGAAATCCATATCGTGTTCTCTATGGCTCCTGTATACATTGAAGATGGACAGCATTGAGTTCCTCATGGTGAGATTAACTTTAAATTTGACGTTTTCAACACAGGCAGGCCTGTGATTGGTGTGGCATTGATATGATTTCTTACTAGTATTGATATGCGTCTGGTGCCACCTTGCGCAATTGAGCAGTGGTAACCTTGATATCCTGGAATATTGATAATTCTTTCAGTCCTGGTAAGTGTTTCTTGGAGTAAAACAATATCAGTGTTGCCCTTGAGAAGCACTGCTCTGAGTGTTTGTGCTTTGTTTTTGAATTCTTGGATATTCCATTGTGTAATCTTGAGATTGTCGTTATTGTCCATTATTCTGTTATAGTTGAATCCACTGAGTCTATGGTGGTTTCTAATGTGCTGATTTCCCCTACGGCTTGTGTCTTCTTGGTTGGAATGGAGGGTGTCATTGGGTGCTGAAACAATTCAGTTTCGTCACCTTCAACTTCGTCGACATTTTCCGGTAGGGCTTGTTGAGGTATGGATGAAATAAGTTCAGTAGATTGTTTTTTACCTGTTAACATTTTCTTCCATGACTGAGGGTTAGTCTGTTCTAGTGCTTGGAATGCTTTGTTGTGCATCTTACTGAAGGTCTCTGTTAGGGAGGTAATAAGCATTGGAACAATGGTCATTTAATATGCCTTTGGCTGCCTTTCTTTTGTCTTAGTAGGTGGGGAGACTAAGTTTAGTTGTGGTGTCTTTGCTACATCCAGCTACTGGGGAATTTGGTGATGTAGAGGTCATCACCCGTGCTTGAGATATCCTGGAGGCAATAGCAGGTGTATTCATTTTGCTGCCCTGATCTGTGCGGTTGTTGTTGCCATGTGGAGTAGTGCTCTTTTTTTTTCCAGTTGTTCGAGGTCCTGTTTTAGACTAGAATGAATTTATGCTCTAGACTGTTGCCGATTTTTATTTTCAGAGATTCGGACTTGCCGAGGAGTATTTCATTAGCTTTTAACAGAGGGTCTGTTAGTTTGTTGTCGTGGATTTGTGGCTTCGGATTGCTGGGTAGCACCGAAAGCTTGGATTACTGAACATCGTTTGTTCCAGGCGTGATGTTTATCCCTGCAGTTTGGACATTTTGTGTTTGTTGGTTTGCCTTCTTTATGTAGATTTTTGCATGTCATTGTTGTGTAGCTCGCTGCATACTCCACACCTTTCCGGGCCTCTGCAGGATTTTTTTGGTGGTCGAAGCGCTGACATCTGTAACAGCGCGTGGGCTCTGGATTGAATAGCCTTAGCCCGAATTGTCCATAGATCCCTATATTCAGTGTTGTTGTTGTTGTTGTTGTTTTAGATTCAGCTACTCGGAACTAAAAGTTTCAAGTAGCACGGGCTATGGTGAGCCCGTAGTGGACTTACCTGGCACAGGAGCGGGGCTGTAACTGCCAATGTTGATGCGAGGTCCTTTTATTGTTACAATCACCTGTCTTGTTTCGACATTGTCGTGGTTACACCTTTCTGTTGTTATGACATTGGGATATTCTAAGAGCCTGTTTGCATTTACTTTCATTTAAACGTATCATCATCTTTGTGACTTTTCCCCTCAGGTTTTAGTTCAACTAAGTTTTCAGTATTCCTGAGATTTGCAATTATGTCTGGGTTAGCTGTGGATACACTATATCTGCCTTTAATGTCAGGTTTGGCTCTGAGATCTGATCCTGGGTGATCTTTTTCCAGTGCGACAATGTAGGCATAAGTGGGACCATCTGCTGTCTTTTTGGTTTTGAAGATGGTCCTTGGCATTGGTTATGGGGCTGCCCCTGAGTTCTGACAGGATTCTAAATTTATTTCTTCGGGAATTTCTTTGGTTCTCTTTCGTGTATTTGCCTTTCCGATTCCTACTACTTGCCAAGGGAATTGTGGTTATTCTCTGGTTCACTATTCCTGTCATCGCCAGCCATTTGCTTTGCTATTTCCACAAGATTACCGTGTCCTTCTGACGTTAATTTCAGAAGGGTGGCCAGTCAGCTCTCTGGGAGACATGGTGGGCCCATGTGTGGTGCTTTTCGTATAAATTCCGATTTTGTAAAGTCGTAATCGCTAAATATCTTTCACTTGAATTAAATTCACTTTATACTGCGCACTAAAAAGACGTTGGTGATTCAGTCAGTAAACTACATAACTAGGTAGTATCACAGGTCAAGTACCTCTGAGTAAATCCTGAGCGAGCTAGAAAGAAGTTCATTGATGTCTGTGTGACCTCGCTCGCGTGCGCGCGCGCACACACACTAAAACAACACAACTGCATGTTGTCGTTGTTTTAGATTCAACTACTCTGAACAAAATTTCCATGTAGCACGAGATGTAGAGAGCCCGTAAAACCGTAATGCAGTTGGTGTCTAATATAGTGAACCTTTGATTACATTATACAGTGAGGCGTGGAAGTCGACACCTCTCTGCTGCACGCACCAATAAAATACCAGTGTTCGGGGATGGGAAAATGACTGCATTCAAGGAAGTGACAGTCAATTTACCGAAAATGACAACTTTCACTGTGGTTAGAGTGGTGCAGCGTTCCTGCCAGCTCACAATGCTGTAATGTTACTCTTTGCCGAGATGGGAACTGACGGACGCACGCGTACACACCACCACCTCACTTCCCAAGGCATTTCATTTATTGACTACTCTGACACTGAAAAAGTTCTTTCTAATGTCTCTTGTGGCTCATTTTGGGTACCCAGCTTCCACCTGTGTCCCCTTGTGCTTGTACCACCCGTGTTGATTGATAAAGATTACGCCACCCAAAAGGTGGCACGGACATGAATAGCCCGTAAAGTGGAGGCTCTTTGGTGCCATTATTAGTACCAATAGCCGATACTGGAGATCTATGGATAGGGTCTTCATGGTCTTTCGCAGTTTTCGGGTGTAATGTCTTCGTTGGCAGGGGCAGCCAGGTTGTGTGACGTCCCTGTTACCGGGCTGGTTGAGGGGCCTGTTGCGAGGTTGGACGCCGGGCCGGCAGCAGGTGGAGGTCGCCCGGTACCGTCACCGTTGGTAGTCCATTTGCGGTGAGCAGCTGGTTGACGGTGTGGACGTATAAGTTGACGTCGCTGCTCGCCAATTTGTCGGCGAGGTGTAGAAGTACTGGTAGCCGGGTGTCGTTGGTGATAACTGCAGGCTTGGTTGGTGGTAGTGAGGGCTGCGGAGGTGAAGGACCAAGCGATAGTGAGGTAGCAACAGCTTCCCCAAGTGTGTTCTCGGGCAAGGCCGGGAAAGCGAACGTAGGCGGGATGGCTAGCTGAGATAGTAGGCTAGCTGAGTGTAGTAGTATGAGGTGGTGGTGGAAACACCACCTCCACCACCCGTGTTAAATAATCCATTCTTATCTACACTGTCAATTCCCCTGAGAATTTTGTATGTGGTGATCATGTGTCTCCGAATTCTTCTGTCTTCCAGCGACGTGAGGTGCAGTTCATGCAGCCTTTCCTCGTAACTCATGCCTCTTAGTTCTGGGACTAGCCTAGTGGCATACCTTTGAACTTTCTCCAGCTTCGTCTTATGCCTGACAAGGTACGGGCTCCATACTCCAGGATGTGTGTGTATTTACTTTACTATTTATATTTACTATTTGTGCCTGCAGAATCGAGCAATTAGCTCTTGGACCCCACCTTTCTAACCAATCTATTTTTCCTCTTTTATGTCTCGTACATATATTTATCTAACATGCGTACGCGCGCGTACACATCCCCAGGAAGCAGCCCATAGCAGCTGTCCAACTCCCAGGTACCTATCTACTACTAGATGAACAGATGTACCAGGGTGAAAGAACTCTGCCTAATTGTTTCTGCCTCGGCCGGGAACCGAACCCGAGTCATTATGCCTACGACCCCAGAGTGCTGTCCACTCGGTGTGTGTGTATATAAACTAATGAAATGCTGGTTACAGGAGCATGTACTTGAATTGAACATTGTACAAATCATGTAACATATACTATATCAACTTTTTCCCATACTTTACAGTACTTCTCGCCGACTTACAAGTTGAAAAAATAGATCTTATATCAATATCTCACCTTCTCTACAACAAGAGAAGGAACAGGAACAAAATTCACACTATAAATAAATTCTAACCAAGGTGCAATATACATTTTACTAAACAGCTAGGGACTAGTTTATACACTAGTCTATACAATTTATACAACATGCATAACGATCAGCGCCAGTATTACTAGCAACATCGCCAGCATTACTAGCAGCAGTAATGAGAGAGAGGTTGGGTGACTTACCAAGGTGCCCGAGAGGAAGAGAGTGACAGTGATGGAGGTGGCGAGGACCCACGCCATGTAGCCTAGCATCAAGCACCCCACCAGCTGAAATGTAAACACAAGCAGATCACCACACTGTGCAACTCACTCATCTTGCCTCAAGCAAGCTGCAATGCTGAAAACACAGTTGCATGTGTTGGTAATATCAACAATTCAGCCCATCCACCTGTTTTGGTAGTACTTATAGTAACGATGAGGACAATAGTATATATACCGACCTACAACGAAATTAAAACGTAGAAATCTGAACTATTGAGTTGAACAAGCAGGAAAACTTTTTTACTTAGGATGCTTTGACAAATTAAACTAACCTATCCTAACCTTCCTAGGCATAATACACGATAGCTAAAGCCTAATATAGTACATATGTGTGCTATACTAGGCCTAGGAATATTTAAGTCTGTGTTTTAGCTTCATTATTTTAAAAGAAGTTCTTACTATGCTACCATCACTAAAGGCTATACTACTGTCAGTGTACTACTATCTAAAAGCTAAGAACGTACAAATTCTTACTGTTGTCGATCGTCACAATAGGTACCATCTAAACAGGAGGATGGGTTGTTGCAATAACATCATCAGGTTAAGTAAAAGCAGTTTCTCCTTGGAGCATCTTAAGGTTTAATATAGTAGGCCACCAATATCCTGAAGCCTGTTCTCTGGCAAGCGTACCATCTTGTGCTATTAAATGCACCAAATAAAACCTAAATCTAGTACTAGTGCAAAAAAAAAAAAAAAAAAAGGCACATAGCTAGGCCTACTGAACTGCTAAATCTTTTACTGCAATTAATGATTTGCCTAAAAAACAGACTATCAGTGGCTAATGCTGCCAAAGGCAGTTTAACTATACTATCACTACTTTAAATTAAATGTAACAGCCAAAGACCTGTGAAAATAACAATGCTACAGTATTCTTTAAGTACAGAGTACAGACAAAACACGTTACTGCGTTGTTGTACCTAATATACGGTATCTAGCATCATATATTCCGGGGAATATAGGATTAAGGACTTGCCCGAAACGCAATACGTGTTAGTGGCTGTACAAGAATGTAACAACTCTTGTATATATAAATAAATAAATAAATAAAAATAAATATTTACACGTATTCATAAGGGACCTTCGATAGAAGCCTAACATGTATATAGTTATCTTTTCAATTTTAAAATTGAAACATTAGCGTTAAAAACCCTGTATGTTGTGATTATATTTTCCTGGTTTCCAAGGCGGTTACCTTGCGATGGTTTCGGGGCTCAACGTCCCCGCGGCCCGGTCCCCGACTAGGCCTCCTGGTTGCTGGACTGGTCAACCTGGCCGTTGGACACGGTTGCTCGCAACCTGACGTATGAATCACAGGCTGGTTGATCAGGTATCCTTTGGAGGTGTTTATCAAGTTCTCTCTTGAACACTGCTACGCAGAGAGGTCGGCCAGTTATTCCCCTTATGTGTAGTGGAAGCGTGTTGAACAGTCTCGGGCCTCTGATGTTGATAAGAGTTCTCTCTCAGGGTCCCTATTGCACCTCTGCTCTTCAACGGGGGTATTCTGCACATCCTGCCTTGCCTTCTGGTCTGATGTGGTGTTATTTCAGTGTGCAAGTTTGGGACCAGCCCCTCTACTATTTTCCACTTGTAAATTATTATGTATCTCTCCCGCCTGCGCTCAAGAGAATACAGATTTAGGCATTTTAGTCGGTCCCAGTAGTTATTCAAGTTCAAGTATGTTTATTGAGACAAAAAAGAAATACATCTCAAAGGGATAGAGTAGCTTAGGCTATTTCTACCCCCCCCCCCTACAGTAGTTATTTTACTGAGTGGATTAATACAGTAAAGGATCTCTGCACGCTCTCCAGGTCAGCAATTTCTCCGGCTTTGAAAGAGGCTGTCATTGTGAAACCGTATTCTATTCAAGAGAGCACTAGCGTCTCAAAAAGTATCATCAAGTATCATCGGTATAGCATATCTAGTTTGAAACGTTCTTGTTTTTTAAATTCAGTTAAAGGTAACATAGAAAGATAAAACCTACCCTATCCAAACATAACTCAATAATTCATAATATTAATTCAAATCAAACTGAAAATAACGAAACTCACTGCCTGTTGGGCAAACCGTCCCTTGCATACTTGTGTAAAGGAGGAAATGTATATGTTTATCTCTCAGAATGTTCGGTAATACGTTTATTGCTTGTGATGTGTGTCTATGTATTAACATGATGTACTGAACGGAGTGAGAATAGCTTGAGCTACCTCATCCCTTTGTGTGTATTTTACCTCAATAAACTTATTTCAATTTCAATTTTAGTCCCTTGCATATAGGTTGTATCAGATCCACCCCCATGGTCGAATTACAGATCTTCCCTAGAATGCATCCTCACAACAGTTCCCGAAATCCTTGGTACCTATTTACTACTAGGTGAACAGAGACATTAGGCGAAAGGAAGCATGCCCAACCATTTATGTCTCGCCTGGGAATCGACCCCAGGATCCCTATATTGCGAGTCAAGGACGATGCTAACTGTACTTCATGATTCTATTTTTTATTTTTAAATGTACACGAAATGTATCAATGTATCCGTGACATGTTCTAATTATAAGAGGATAATGTTAATACAATTTCACGTTAGTTGTGGTGTGAGTGGCTTACGACCTTTACCGTACTGCATATAAACTCGTTTGGAGCAGTTCCACAGCGTATTACTGTTCATGTGTTGCTTTTTGCAGACTATAACAGCCACCTGGCATTTGCTCTTTGACTATCAAAATGTAATTGTTTTGTATCTCACGTCACTAATAAGAAATATTAATGAAGTAAGATGAACGGGAAATATTTCCCATTGGAAGTGTTGCCGCCAGAGTCGGCTGGTTTACCGACACCTCGAGTAAAAACTATTACCGAGGCCACAAAAAGATTTTAATCAGATCTCGGCAGAATTTTGTACATTATTCATTTACATTATCTGCACACCTTGTAAGTACACTGACAGATTTCCCTGATTGTAACTTCTATGTATTAATATATTATACATTGGAGGTAGGAATCTTTGTTAATTTTCGACATTGGTTTTCATAGGATAATAGGTTTAATGGTTTTAAGTCACACAACATACACATGTCATTTATCTACATTTCTACAAGAACTAACCAAAGTTCACCAATACAGCTTAATACAAGATACTCAACATACAACATACTCAAGAATGTTATTTCTTAAATAGCAAGAAATAAACAGTTGTTGTTGTTAAAGATTTGCCACCTGGAACAAAGTTCCAAGTAGCACGGGCTATGGTGAGCCCGTAGTGCCTTTTAAAAATAAACAGTAGTGTCGGACGGCGTGCACGCACTACCACCAGCCACTGTACCGTGGCAACACGAGTCATCCGTGTAAGTTTTCCCATGTAAACAGACGGAGAAGGCTGCAAACATTGGAACAACCTCATTAATGACTTGATAATAGGTTAGTGAAGGCGAGCTTACGAGGCACTGCAATACCAGAGAGAGAGAGAGAGAGAGAGAATTATCATGGTAAAGCGCCAAGCCATAACGACTATATAGCACTGGGAAAGGGTTAGGATAAGGATTTGGGATGGGACAGGGGGAAGGAGAGACGAGAGAGAACTGAAAGATATTTAGACGTAAAGCTTCAGGCAGGCATTATAGTGTTTAATCACCAAGTCATGTATACGGTGACCAAACCACACACTAGAAATTGAAGAGACGACGACGTTTCGGTCCGTCCTGGACCACTATCAAGTTGATTGTGAACATGACTGATACTGGACCACAATCAACTTGATAATAGTCCAGAATGGTCCGAAACGTCGTCGTCTCTTCAATATCTAGTGTGTGGTTTGATCAACATTTTTCAGCCACGTTATTGTGACTTCATCTGTACATGTATACGTGTTTACAAACAGATGACAAAGGCGAATGTCAACTGAAAACTAAATGCAAAGTTATTTAGGGTATGCCAGAAAGAAGTTTCATAAATACTTGAACAGCTTTTTTATACGTAAATGTTGCCATGGTTGCTTGAGAAACAGCTCTTGTTACCGTTAAGCACGAATGGTTTTTGTCAGTGGGCGCGTTTATATTATATATATTACATACGAGATATTGTAAGTGTTATATGTACATGTTTTATATGTATGTTCTGGGTCTCCCTGAAGGTAGCAGCCCACCTCAACTCTACTGTAGAGTGGATAGGTATCAGCCAATGTTAAGGCACATATGTAACTACGTGTAACTGTTTCCAGGTAACTCCCTCTGGACTAAATATATATTATATATTACTATATACATTATACTATATATATATTATATATATTTTATTATATTTAATATAATAATCTTCCACTTCAACAAATTTTAAACTTTTAATTTTAAATATGAAAAATATCTCCACTATGTACTTCAAATGCTTCCCTCTCGAAAATACAAACTAAAAGAACATAGAGTGCATTTACAATACAATTAACGATTGTAGTTGTATTTGGAAGCAACAATCAAACTATCCATTAAGTCTCCCCATAACAACTCCCCCCTCCTAACACCCCCATCTTATAACCCACAACAAAACTAAAATTAATTAATGCAAATTAGCGGTTGCAAATTCCCCAGAGGTAAACAAACTCTCGTTGCAACTTTCCCCAACAGATGGCGCCGAGAACACTACAGAGACGGGTGAAATTTGCAAGGAAAGTAGAGAAAACACGTGTTAGCCCATCCCGTTCTCTGTACTTACCACAACATACAAAATAAGAGCTACCGTACTAAAGCCTACGAACCCAAGCCACCTGCCTAACCTGGCCAACTTACGCATAGGAAACATCAATATTTGTATTTGTATTACACCTTATTTTGTACGTTGGGGGATCATAGCCGACAAAATGAGGCTCATTAGTTGAGAGGATGGGTTGAAATGCCAGCTGAGCAGACAGTCCTTTCAAGTTGCCACATTGGACAGAAAATTATGTTCTAAATTGTTCAAACATAACGTAACCATTACTCAAACATAACCCACGTATAGAAAACGTGTTTATTTGCGAGCCGCTC